TGATCGGCCTCTCCCACCCCAATCAGGGCCCACAGACCCTCCCCCACAATTGGCCCACAGACCCTCCCTCCAGCCAGCCCTGCCCCATATAGTCCCCTCTACCCTAATAGGAGCCGGGGCCAGCTGGCCAACCTCCTGCAGCCCCTCCCCCCGGCCGGCCCCGCTCCCGATGGCCCCCACCACACCAATCGGGGGTGGGACTAGCCAGCCAACCTCCCATGGCCCCTCCCCTGGCCGCTGACCCCCAATCGCCCCCCGCAACCCCAATCAGGGGCAGGGCCCAATCAGGGCGGGCTGGTCGGCCAACCTCCCGCTGTCGCCTCCTCCGGACAGGCCCGGCCCCGATCCACCCTGATTGAGGCCGGGCCGGACGGACCCCACCCATGCACAAATTCATGCACTGGGCCTCTAGTTATTGTAATAATAACAGAAGCTTTCTACAAGCTGGCATCCAGGGCAGGGAAACACGGGGTCTAGGCTGTGCTGCCAGGCCCCTGGCAGCCTCTGTGGCCCTGCGCATGAAGACAGCCTACCGGAGTGGTTGACCAGGGCGCGCGTCTGGCCGTCGGCCGTGGGCGTGATCAGGTCCCAGATGAAGCTCTTGATGTTCTCGTCCCCCTTGTAATGGGTGAGGCAGTACACGAGGATGGTCCTGCAGATGGTCTCCACATCCTGCTCAGTGAGCTGGCGTTTGTAGCGTCCATGGGAAAGGATGTCCGTCCACCGCCCCCAGCTGCAAAGCAAGCATGCAGCATGCACAGGTGCCCTCAGTGTCGGTCGGGGCTTACTTTCACAGTCAGGCAGCGGGGTTAGGACATCTTGGGTCAAAACTCTCATGTCTATGGGGTTCCCAGGCACATGAAGGTATTAAATGTGGTTCTTTTCTCTTGCTAAACAATAACAACAAAAACCTGGCAATATTTATGTGAAAGGAAAGCAACCCAGGGCCCAGCGTGAAAGCCTCCCATCCTAGCGCGGGCTGTGGTCCACGGCTCCTCAGTGAAGGACGGGCGGACACAGGCTTTCCCTCAGAGTCAGATGGGCAGCCACTCTGAAGACGAGAGAGCAAGCAGGGCCTGGACGCTTTACACTCTCACAGTGATGCTGCACAGTCATGGTTTGCATGCTTCGATGCTGACCAACCATTTGAAATGAACAGGGACTCAAGGTGGGTGTGACAGCCCCCAGTCAGGGCTGAGAAGTGTGGTTTCATCAACCCTAAGGGGTGCCACCATAATGAATGAGAGGCTGTGGACAGGCTCTGGTTTCATTCTGAAACAGAGAACGCAACTCCAAGTCCAAAAGCACGCACAGGAGAAACGTCCCGCCAACGCTCAGGTCCTCATGTGAAACGGGTGGAGAAGGGACTGTGGCTAGAACCAGGCAGATAGCACGCGTTGCAGGGGCTGAACTGTCTATTTAGGATTACAGTCTCGGGTTTAACCCAGTGGTTGTGCTCTTTCTCTCGTGTGCTGTGGAGTGAGAACGTACAAAAGACAAGCAGATGCGGCCTGAGCTGTGCCTCCCCCAGAGTACCGCTGACCGAGCCCCTAGGCTGCCTCCTTCCCGCTGGTGGAGTCTCAGCTGAGAAGCACAGTGCACGCCCAGAACGCCCTGCCTCTCGCCCTGGCTTGGTCCCCTCTGGCTTCTATGAACCTCTCTCAGTCCCCAAATTGCAAGGCTGGCCCTCACCTCTAGGCCTTTGGATACACTGCCCTCCCTGCCAGAAACTCTCTTCTCCCCCGACTCAATGTCCAACACTCCCTCTTACCCTGGCTCATTCAAGATATCCATCTAGTCACAGACTATACACATCACCTTCTGTGGAATTCCTCCTTCTATTGCCTGAACCCCAGAGGCAGAGAGACAATACCTGAGCTGTGTCTTAAAGGAGAGGAGACATGCATCTACACTCCATTTGCACAGAGCTCCCAGCCAAGCCATTACCAGTTTACTGCTTTCTGCTGTTCACCTGCCTGCTTGAGGTGGGGCTGTGACTGTCCTGCTCACAGCTGTGTCCCTGGTGTCTGAGAATATCCTAGCACAGTGCCCAGCACATAGTAGGTGTTCAATACCTGGTGATGCCTGTGGGAGGAGGGAAGGGCTTCACTAAAATACAGTATGCCCTAAGGATACTTCTTAGCTTCAAGAGTTATTAATATGCTCCATTTCTTTTTTTTTTCTTTTTTTTTTAAATATATTTTATTGATTTTTCACAGAGAGGAAGGGAGAGATAGAGAGTTAGAAACATCGATGAGAGAGAAACATCGACCAGCCGCCTCCTGCACATCTCCCACTGGGGATGTGCCCACAACCCAGGTACATGCTCTTGACCGGAATCGAACCCGGGACCTTTCAGTCCGCAGGCCGACGCTCTATCCACTGAGCCAAACCGGTTTCGGCAATATGCTCCATTTCTAAAGCTACCGGCAAAATTCTCAACTTAGATCATTCAGCTGAAACATGGAAGTGAGTGCAAAGGGCTTGGGTGGGGAGTCTCTCAGCTGTGTGAGGACTGACAGGAAAGGGTACACAGCTTGCACAGGCAATAGGAGAGGGGACCCAGCGACCACACACAGGATGAGCTTTCGTTGAACTTCATTTATTCCACAACCACTGACTCAGCACTCACTGTGTCTGTCGGCACTGCACTCTGCCCTGAGGACACAGAGAGCCCTGAGCTGCTAGCTGGGTGTCTAACAGGAGAAGCCGCCACTACCAACATGCACCAAAATGTGGTGGAAAGTACAGACCAGACTTTCTGGTGCAGGGTGCCAAGGGGACGCCTACCCTGGATGCCAAGGACAGGAGGGGTTAGGCAGCTCAAGCCTGCGTGTGCGAGTGTGCGCGTGCGCGCGCGCGCGCGGGTGTGTGTGTGTGTGTGTGTGTGTGTGTGTGTGTGTGTGTG